TGAGCACCAGGTGTGTGTAATTGACAAGACAAGACATGACAAGTGGAGCGATGAGAATGGGATCGGCAGTAGCTAGTAAGCCGGTGATGACGAACGCCGAAACCTGTCCAAACAAGGAGGGGAGGCAGCCTCAGCGGAAGTCGTGACACTTTCGGATGATGTAATGTACAGAGTATTGCCTATAGAAATATATCATATAGAACTGGCACAGTTGGCTATTCAGCACATTAAATTATACAGTAATGTTTTACCAGTCCTTGCCTTACCAATGACGCACAATCGAACAGTAACTGAATGCCTCGATGCCTGTCTGCCTGCTTCATATCGCAAGCCATATGTCTGTAGGAGCAAACCATTTTTGTGAACGGGGTGGTGTACCTAATAAACTGGCCTTTTAATGTATATGGACATGTCCAAATTGAAATGCTTCTAACCAAGTTTTCAATTATGGGCAATGTGAGCTAGTTAACAAATTAGCACAAAAAGAAAACGTTTTTTAATCAATAAGCTCTGCATTTCGGGAATCACCTTTGTAAGCACCCCAAGGGCACTGTTTAATTAATATATATTTTTGACGTAAACAATTTTTCTTGCGGATTTAGCCATAGCACTGATAGGGAGGAATGCTTTCAAAACTTGTCAGAATGACTCTGATTTGTGCAGACTCAAGATGGTTTGTGACAGTTACTATCCAGCAGAGCATTGTTATGATTTGGTTAGCTTGTCAATCAAGTTTAATTTCCTTCTAACATTACAAGACAGTTGAGCAAGTGTTTATATCTTTGTACTGTGCATATAAATATGGCTCTGGAGTGAGCAACTATTTATTTCTCTGATTTAGGGTGTGTTCGTAAATTCACTCTGACGATCTGCTCCGATTTCAGAGCGCTCTCGTCTGAGTGAGCCAGAGCGCAGAATAACTTTACAAACACTCAACACCTGTTGAATATGGCCGGTGTCAGTAAACATCCGCAAAAAAGTGTAATTAAATTATTGCCAGCAGCACAGTTAAAGTCACCAATGCTCTGGATAACATGAAAACAGCTTAACCAGCTCTGCTAGGGCGAGTAAAATGGTCAGAGTGAGGTGTTCTCTCATTTGTGTCTGGAAGTAGCTAGCCAACGTTAGCCAGTTAGCTTGGGTGCTTGATGTTTCTGTATATGTTAGATTAAAGAATAAAGACAGACACAAATGTCAAGTTCAATAGCCATGTTCAAGTATTGTACAATTCCCTACATACGGGGTCTTGGGAACAGGCCAGCTAAACATGACTGTTGTTGTGAGGTCAGAACGCTCTGCATTACCACCACCTACCGGGCTGAAGTATGATAGAGACTATGCCATAATATAATGAATTGTTTGGACACGCTCTGGCCTTTTCACATGAATTTACAAAGAAGTCGTGGCTACGCAAGTTGTATAGAGAGCGTAGAAATAGTAAAATAATACATGCATCTAAATAAATAAAAATGTTTTGGGGGTTGTGGGGACTGGGAGAGAGAAACTCACCACATTAACATGGCTTTTTCATACCACACAGTGGCAGTGTTGAGACACCTGAGGATTGACATTTTCAATACGTCACCTACAACAACAACATGAAACATACAACATATACACAAAATACATAACACAAAACATCAGTGATGTCGAAGGTTTTCAAAAAATATAACATGTCAGAATAAGCAAATAATGTCATTGGATTCTACTCAACTCATTACTCTTTTTTTAGTTATCTCCTTTTTTTTTTTTTTTTTTTTTATGGCAAATAATCAAGCATCTTCCAAAAAATAAGAGTAAAAATGTACACTTTAGAATTGTCAATGTACAGTACCCACACACTCCCTACTCCACCTCCAACTCACAAATTCTTATATGTATTTCTTTTCACTCAGAGGTTACAAAATAGTACAATAGTACAGATTTAGGTTACAAAATAATTTCACCTGATGGAGGCAGCAACAACCAGACACTCAGTGGGTTATGGGTTGACTAACCCCTTCAACAATTTATGTGCGCACTCTCAATCTCCTTTAAACTGAACTACAAGGCTCCAGATGTGCACAAACTCGTAAAGTAATGGTTTTAAGAAGGCATCTCCAAAACATAAGGAAATATACTGTAAGACTGTGCCAGAATATAGACCTTAGTTTAGTCTATTCTGTGGGGATCCATAGGTCATCTCCCTGTTTTACAAAACAGACGGTGTTTCCTAGAGTAAATTGCGATGAATAGATTGAAATAGATGAGAAACACACGCACGCAAACACAAACTGTTGGCTCAGCAATCACTCTTGGGCAAGGATACACTGTGTGTGTGTGTGTGTGTGTGTGTGTGTGTGTGTCAATATCCTCCTTTAAACCCTCTCTTTATTCATTTGTCCGGCTGACCAGCTCTCATTATTCCAGATAGATTGCCATCTTCCAACAGGAAATTGCAGTGTGGAAACCTTGTCTGATATTGTAATGTAGCCACAGCACCTACTGGGCACAGACGTTGAGTTGTCAACTAACACAAACTAAATGTGAAATCAACAAAAAATGTCACCATGTCATTGGATTTAGGTTAAAAGATTGGTAGAATTTTCTTTGCAAATCCAACATTTTTCCCACGTTGATTAAACTTAATCACATTAAATTGTTGGGTTGAAATGATGTGGAAACAACGTTGATTCAACCAGTTTTTGCACAGTAGGCAGTTACTGTCCTGAGATACTGTCCAGTTCTGTAGAGAAATAGTTGAGATTTTTAGGCCTTAGAACAGGGGTAGGCAACTAGATTTAGCTGCGTGCCGATTGTTTTTTGAATGGCTGGTCGGGCGACCGGAACATAATTAAAATAATTTGTACACTACAAAATGCTCAATTAGATGTTTATGACAAAAACATAATATTTGACCAAAGACACAGTAGGGTGCCATTTGGGACGCAACCTCAAGCTCTTTGAAGTCCAAGAGTCCCATTACTTTATTCTCTTTATATACCCTTCTTTGCCAGGTAACCGTTCTGTTATTTTTTTGTTCTGTTTTGGCACATGAAAACATTTCTGTCTCAGCAGAACGTTACAGAATGTTCAAATAGAAATGTACTGTACAACAAACATCTCCCTTGCTTCGGCGGGGCCTCACTTCACAGGCAACCATCGCTTGCCAAAACGCTCCAATCAGGCAACCTCTTCACAGTTGTCTAGGGGACCATTTAACAGACACTGAATGGTCATTGGTCGCCTTAGTGGGGAGTGCTTGACCAAAGACAAAACAAAATGGTGCCAATGAGCTCTTCAGTGCTGAATAGGCCATCTGTCTCATAAGAGATTGAACGTGATGTCCTACAGCACTTCTGCTGAAATACTAGATTTCTGCAGCATGGCACAGTGATTCAGTGTAGCTAATACTGTCTGTACATCTTTAACCACTGAATTGTATTTTGTTACAGTGTTTCTATGGTGATGCCTGTAGAGCAAACTTGTACCCTCATTGTACAAAGATACTGTGCTTTGTGAATGAGGGAACAGTTTTGCTCTGTCTGTCTGTCTCCGCCTGTCCGTTCCTCTCTCCCTCTATACATATTTCATATATGGACATCTGAATATTATTAACCTATATAAACATATCTGTGAATCCTTGTAGAAGAAAAACTGTGTTAGAGATTTAGAGTTGAACATATTGTCAAACACACTGTGTGCTATTTGGATGATTCATGTTTCCTGCTTCCCGCCCACGGAGATAAACAGTTGAGGATCACACTGTCTGTGTTAATCAATACTCTTGTATCCCTAGTGTGATGTTGCTACCATGTTCTATAAAAACGTCACTACCCCTGGGCACTTGTATATCTATGGTCTTGTTCCAGGTCGACTACATTGCAGCTATTGCATTACATCAACCAATAGTTGCATGCCACATCCTTGACTGTGCAGTCGGGCATCAGATTGCTATATCATATGATGTGGTTAGCTGCTATGTTAAACACCTATCCAGGCATTCTGAGATCTGGCAGGCATCTGCAATGTAGTGCCCCAAGAATCTGGCCATTATGTGTATATCTAAAGCAATATAGTGAAAATTCTCAGCGGGCAAGGTGGGTTTTTTGTGTTTGTCATAACGGACTATGGGGAGGAGGTACAGAAAACATTCATTTTTCAACGGGTTTTCCAAAATCAGTTTTTCCTAAATTGACCTTGGCAATTAGGTTTTATGAAGAATATGTGTTCAAAGGCTTTATCCGAACTTAAGATATGCGCACATAACTCACACACTTTTGCGTAAAAAAACACTGACGTCAATGGGAAATTCGCAGAAAATGTAGGATCTTACTTACACTGAGGATAGAGCAATCAACGTTTCAGACTTGGAGAGTATTTTGAGATCAAAACAATGTCATTCTCTGATCATTTCATCCCCACTGAATTAAAATGAATAAGAATGTATAATATTGAGGATCTAACAGTGCAGACATTATGAATCACACGCAAAGATCTCCAGATAACGCTATCCAATTTATTTGTTTTCTTAGATAAATTCCATACAGCATTTAATCATAGTCAAGTCATTCACCTATTAAAAATGTCCAGTTATTGCATTGGCTTTTTGATAATTAGAGTTACAGCCATAATAATCAAGTACAACATCCTATAAATAATCCATAGTATTTTTGACATGTACACGTATACATAAACTTGTAGTTACAACCCCACCTATTTTAGCATGGTAACAATAACAATTGGATCGGCCTTCATTTTTCACATAAGTGGTTGCGCAGTGTCAAAAATCAAATGAAAAGCTGGCTGTTATCAAGCTGAAGCAGGAAAGAGAAAGAGAGTGGGAGTCCTGGCATAGGGAGTTGCTGTCCTTCTGTGTTGGAGGGACGGATGACCATAAGAGCCTCGTTGCAAGAGGCTGGAGTGGGCACCGGTATTCTCTCTATAGAAAAGAAAGCGAGGGTGAGAGAGATGGTGGATCCCATCTCAAATTCACACCTCTGGTCTAGCTGTTAATGAGGAGGAAGAGGAGGAAGAGGAGGAAGGTGCGGTCATCGTCTCAGCCTCATCTCAACCTCGTCTCAGCTCATGGAGTTTCTGGGCGACGCTCTCCAGCTCCGACTCGATGGCCGCCAGACTCTCAATCTCAGGGTCCTACAGATATGGATAGAGATGGAAACCAGACAGATAGACAAGAGGGGGTGAAAGAGCGAGGTGAGAGAGAAGTAGAGGTTAGAAGAGAGGGAGAGGAAAGGACAACGAGTGAGGATTAGAAAGGGAAAGGAGGGGAGAGAAGGGAGGAGGTCATTACTCAATATTACCGTCTTCTGAGTGCACTTAAACAACTCTACCCGGCCATGTGTCATTCTCTAAGAGGCTATATCTGTGTGGACAACGTGCGTGTGTGTGCATGCCAACCAAGCCATTTTTGTTTGTCAGTGTCTGTGCCAAAACGTACCTGCATAGGTGTGCGTGTGTGTGTGCGTGTGTGTGTTCCCATATGAGAGCCCACAGGCGTTAAGAGCCCTGTGGATGAACCATCCATCCAGCGCGGTCCAATTGCTGTAGTTAGTAGTAGAGGCTCCTGAGGTGGAACCAGCAAACTTTTCCTACTTTTAGAAGAGTGAGGGACTCTAATTGGCGTTGCACTGCTGTAGGCCATAGTCATATTCACTAGGAAGTAAACAGACATAATGGGGAGGGACTACCTTAACTTGTCCAATAAGAAATGTTAATTTTTTATTTTTGGTTGCAAAAAGTTTTGCTACGGTGTGCACTAATGAATACAATCCAGTTGAATCTGCGAAGAACGTGTGAAAAAGTAGGAGTGCTGTTATATAATCAGTTTTGCCTTTTAGATCTCAATTATTAAGATTACATGGACAGGGGGGACCTGATCCTCGATCAGAACTCCTACTCTTGACACGCTTGATACATACGGCCCCTGATTCAACTAATCCATGGCATGGTGATTAGTTGCTTTGTTGACGAGTTGAATCAGGAGTGCAGGGTAAGAACAAAAATGTGCACCTCTCTAGGTGGTTCCTGAGAGGGGATTGAGTGAAAATGCTAATATAGCCAGGGACCATTGCATTTCATTGGATTTGGGGATAGTTCATTCAATTTTAATAATTGGGGGGAACGTACCTCAGTCTTCCTGCTGGCGCTCCCTTCTTCCTCCCCTTCCTCTCTCCTCTCCTCCGGTTTCCTGCGTGCCATCATCTGGAGCTCCTTCACTTCTGGGCTCCTCCGTGCCCCTCCCACCTTCCTCTTCTCCTCCACTTCCTCTTCCACCACCTCCTTGGAGTGATGGGGCACTTCCTGTTGACCTCCGACCTCCAGTAGCTTCACTTCCTGCACCTTTTCTTCCTCTCCCGCTCTCTTCTTTGTTTGTAAACTCCGGGCTAGCTCACTCATTCTGCTCCAGTGATTCGAAACGGCCTTGCGTTTCACCTCCCCCTCCTCCTCCTCCTCCTCCTCCTCCTCCCACACCTTCTTTGCCTCGGCACTGTCTTGCAGAGGCAAAGCAGAACTCTTCTCCTCTACCTCCTCCTCTTCCTTTTCCTCTGCAGATTTCTTCTCCTCAGATTTCTCTTCTGGTGCATCCGTCACCTCACCAGACTCTGCCCCTGTGTAGATGAAAAATAATAGAATATACAATATATATACAAAAGAATGTGGACACCCCTAGAAATTAGTGGATTCGGCTATTTCAGCCACATCCGTTGCTGACAGGTGTATAAAATCGAGCACACCGCCATGCAATCTCCATAGACAAACAGTGGCAGTAGAATGGCCTTACTGAAGAGCTCAATGACCTTCAATGTGGCACCGGCATAGGATGCCACCTTTCCAACAAGTCAGTTAGTCAAATTTCTGCCCTGCTAGAACTTCCCCGGTCAACTGTATTTGCTGTTATTGTGAAATGAAAATGTCTAGAAGCAACAACGGCTCAGCCGCGAAGTGGTAGGCCACACAAGCTCACAGAACGGGGCCGCCGAGTTCTGAAGCGCGTAGCGTGTAAAAATCATCTGTCCTCGATTGCAACACTCACTACCAAGTTCCAAACTGCCTCTGGAAGCAACGTCTGCACAAGAACTGTTCGTCGGGAGCTTCATGAAATGGGTTTCCATGGCCGAGCAGCCGCACACAAGCCTAAGATCACCATGCGCAATGCCAAGCGTTGGCTGGAGTGGTGTAAAGTTCGCCGCCATTGGACTCTGGAGCAGTGGAAAGGCGTTCTCTGGAGTGATGAATCACGCTTCACCATCTGGCAGTCCGATGGACTAATCTGGGATTGCCGGATGCCAGGAGAACGCTACCTGCCCGATTGCATAGTGCCAACTGTAAAGTTTTGAATTATGGTCTGGGGCTGTTTTTCATGGTTCGGGCTAGGCCCCTTAGTTCCAGTGAAGGTAAATCTTAACGCTACAGCACACAATGACATTCTAGACGATTATGTGCTTCCAACATTGTGGCAACAGTTTGGAGAAGGCCCTTTCCTGTTTCAGCATGACAATCCCCCGTGCACAACGTGAGGTCCATACAGAAATGTTGTCGAAATCGGTGTGGAAGAACTTGACTGGCCTGCACAGAGCCCTGACCTCAACCCCATCGAAAACCTTTGGGATGAATTGGAACGCCGATTGCGAGCCAGGCCTAATCGCCCAACATCAGTGCCTGACCTCACTAATGCTCTCGTGGCTGAATGGAAGCAAGTCCCCGCAGCAATATTCCAACACCTAGTGGAAAGCCTTCCCAGAAGAGTGGAGGCTGTTATAGCAGCAAAGTGGTGACCAATTCCATATTAATGCCCATGATTTTGGAATGAGATGTTCGATGAGCAGGTGTCCACATACAGTTGAAGTCGGAAGTTTACATACACTTAGGTTGGAGTCATTAAAACTCGTTATTCAACCACTCCACACATTTCTTGTTAACAAACTATAGTTTTGGCAAGTCGGTTAGGACATCTACTTTGTGCATGACACAAGTAATTTTTCGAACAATTGTTTACAGACAGATTATTTAACTTATAATTCACTGTATCACAATTCCAGTGGGTCAGACGTTTACATACACTAAGTTGACTGTGCCTTTAAACAGCTTGGAAAATTCCAGAAAATGATGTCATGGCTTTAGAAGCTTCTGGCTAATTGACATCATTGACATCATTTGAGTCAATTGGAGGTGTACTTGTGGATGTATTTCAAGGCTTACCTTCAAACTCAGTGCCTCTTTGCTTGACATCATGGGAAAATGAAAAGAAATCAGCCAAGATCTCAGGAAAAAATTTTTAGACCTCCACAAGTCTGGTTCATCCTTGGGAGCAATTTCCAAACGCCTGAAGGTACCACGTTCATCTGTACAAACAATAGTACGCAAGTATAAACACCATGGGACCACGCAGCCATCGTACCGCTCAGGAAGGAGACGCATTCTGTCTCCTAGAGATTAACGTACTTTGGTGTGAAAAGTGCAAATAAATCCCAGAACAACAACAAAGGACCTTGTGAAGATGCTGGAGGAAACAGGTACAAAAGTATCTATATCCACAGTAAAATTAGTCTTATATCGACATAACCTGAAAGGCCGCTCAGCAAGGAAGAAGCCACTGCTCCAAAACCGCCATAAAAAAGCCAGACTACGGTTTCAACTGCACATGGGGACAAAGATCATACTTTTTGGAGAAATGTCCTCTGGTCTGATGAAACAAAAATAGAACTGTTTGGCCATAATGACCATTGTTATGTTTGGAGGAAAAAAGGGGGTGGCTTGCAAGCCGAAGAACACCATCCCAACCGTGAAGCACTGGGGTGGCAGCATCATGCTGTGGGGATGCTTTGCTGCAGGAGGGACTGGTGCACTTCACAAAATAGATGGCATCATGAGGAAGGAAAATTATGTGGATATATTGAAGCAACATCTCGACATCAGTCAGGAAGTTCAAGCTTGGTCGCAAATGGGTCTTCCAAATGGACAATGACCCCCAAGCATACTTCCAAAGTTGTGGCAAAATGGCTTAAGGACAACAAAGTCAAGGTATTGGAGTGGCCATCACAAAGCCCTGACCTCAATCCTATAGAAAATGTGTGGGCAGAACTGAAAAAGCATGTGCGAGCAAGGAGGCCTACAAACCTGACTCAGTTACACCAGCTCTGTCAGGAGGAATGGGCCAAAATTCACCCAACTTATTGTGGGAAGCTTGTGGAAGGCTACCCAAAACGTTTGACGTCTGACCCACTGGGAATGTGATGAAAGCAATAAAAGCTTAAATAAATCATTCTCTCTACTATTATTCTGACATTTCACATTCTTAAAATAAAGTGGTGATCCTAACTGACCTGAGACAGTGAATTTTTACTAGGATGAAATGTCAGGAATTGTGAAAAACTGAGTTTAAATGTATTTGGCTAAGGTGTATGTAAACTTCTGACTTCAACTGTACTTTTGGTCATGTAGTGTATATTTATTATCCATTTGCATGGACATTTTTCATCCTTTCTTGACAGAGTATCCAACCAGACATACCACTCACTCACTCACTCACTCACTCACTCACTCACTCACTCACTCACATGGGAGCAGCACAGGGTCAGCCACAAAGCAGCACCCCTAGAGCAGTTTTGGGGTTAAGTGCCTTGCACAAGGGCACAAGGGCACAACGGCATAAGGTGGCAGCTGTGATATTGGGTTGCCTGCTCACTCAAGACAGATTCACCTTGTCAGACCTAGGATTCAAACCCTTTTGTTACTAGCCTGCTATTTCTATCCTTGAGGCTACCACAACTCTCCAAAGAAAGGAATATTATCTTTCTCTCTCTTTCTCTCTCCTTCCTTCTCTCCCTCTCTCCTCACTCTCTAAACAGTATTATCCACCCTCAACAGGACTCCACTCTTCTTAATGAAATCTTCTGCTGCCAGCTGGCTGAGCAGATATCTGCCTACCTCTACCTTTTACTTCTCCCTCATGGTCCACCTTTCTCCTAAATTATGGGCACATGGTCAGGGGTGTCATGCACCCAAAAAACCTGAGGATGCACAAAGTACATGAGGATGGCTGGGGAGTGGTCCGTCAGGATGTTTGAGAATTTCGCATTTTTCAAACACTTGAAACAGCTTTTTCCTGCAATCTAGAGCCATAATCATTATGCTTAATTCTATGTCAAAAATACATTTAATTATATCCAAGCATACTTCTTGAGCTGTCTGTATCCTCCAGTTAGGTGGTAATTTAAAAAAAGAAAATATGATTCTCTGCTACAATCCGGGTAAAAGATTGAAAGGAATGTGAGTCTTATTCAGTACCTTGCTTTTCTAACTTGATAGCCTGAAATGTCTTCTTGGTAGCTAGTTATGAGTTTGGGAGATTGGGAACCTATCTGGGCTAGCTAAAGCCAACTTCATAAAGTTGCTAAGTGTCTAGTAGTATTACAGAGAAACAACAGCAAAAATGGAACAAAAAAATGTAATATCTATATACAGTGGGGAGAACAAGTATTTGATACACTGCCGATTTTGCAGGTTTTCCTACTTACAAAGCATGTAGAGGTCTGTAATTTTTACAGGAAACGTATGATCTCTGTAATTGCAAACAAAGGTTTCTGTACCAAATATTAAGTTCTGCTTTTCTGATGTATCAAATACTTATGTCATGCAATAAAATGCAAATTAATTACTTAGAAATCATACAATGTGATTTTCTGGATTTTTGTTTTAGATTCCGTCTCTCACAGTTGAAGTGTACCTATGATAAAAATTACAGACCTCTACATGCTTTGTAAGTAGGAAACCTGCAAAATTGGCAGTGTATCAAATACTGGTTCTCCCAACTGTGTGTGAGATATATATATATATATATTTTTTTTTAAACAGGACACATCTGATTGGGTCTGTGCTATCTGGGATTCTTGGGACGTCCCTACCCCCCATTGAAGTTGAAAATGAAAATGGTTAGGGTTAGGTAAGGGTTATGGTTAAGGTTAGGGTAGGTATTAGGGTTAGGGGGCACGTGCCCTTTTATCCCCTATGGGCATGATGCCTCTGCATGTGGTTACAGCCTATTGGGAGCCTCCTTCCCTGCATACAACCTATGGAGGTACAGAGATTCATACTGTACCGTCCCTTGGCGTGACCTTTGTCCAAATGTTCCCTTATGCTCAATTGAATAGTCACTGGGACTGGCTGGTCATGCTAGAACCTTATCCTAGCCTCAACCTTACAAATAGCCAGTAGGCAGGTGGGCGGTTGAAGGACTGGGGATGATGTATTTGTCAATGTCTCTCTGTCCTAAAAATCTATAAATGAAGTATACAAAAATAACATATAACCTAGTTCACATGCTTGCTCATCATTTATGACAATATTTTAATTTCTTTCCTTTCCAGCATGGCCTAAATCTAGCGTTTAGATTTGAATTCCAGGGGCGTGCAGCCATTTTGTCAATCCGTAGCCATGGGATGTATTCCAAATGGCACCCATTCCCTATTTACTACACTACGTTTGACCAGAGCCCTATAGGTCCTGGTCAAAAGTAGTGCACTATATAGGGAATAGGGAACATGGTGTCATTTGGGACACAACCCTGCTGTCCAAGTGCTCTGTCTTGTTGGTAATGTTCCAGTATCCATTATCTAATCAAACCGGGCCGCTGTGCGGGGAGCACTCTAACTCATCAGCTAGATGGAGCCACTCGTATCAATCATCTGCTCCCGTGGTGCAGGGTCGCGATCTCACCATCAGTCTCCACCTCTTTCGCCTCCTTTCTTCCCTCCCTCCCTGCATTTTTTCTCTCGCTGCAGTGAGTCTCTCGTTCCATTCTCTTATATTTGATTAATTTTCTCTTTGTGTTTGCACACACACACACACACACACACACACACACACACACACACACACACACACAACAATGCCTCCCTCCTGATCCTGCACTCTCTGCCTGACTGACCTCACTACCACAGAGAACAGTGTTTATCTATTGGATTGATTTGGCACTTACCTGGAGCGGTCCACTACTTAATCTTTATGACACATCATCATCATCATCATAGTTAATACTCCTCTGGGTGTAGTGAAGTGTAGTCGAGAGGGAAGCTAACTGCAGCCACTTTCATGCTCACTTCAAAGCTAGCAAGTGCACTTACTGTACATGGGTCAATCTCATCCTACTCCACTCAATTCTACAGATGATGTGGTAAAGTCAGGAGATGTCCATGTACTCGACATGTGAAGGCCTGAAGACCAGTGTCTATAATGTCACCGTCAATGTGCTCTGGGCAGCAGTTCTTACCTTTCTTATCCAGAGTCACGTTTCTTCCCTCCGTTTTAGCCTCCTCTGTGTTATCTTCGGAGCTCGCACGTTCCCTCATCCTCCTCCTTTTCCTTCTCGTCCCCCTCTTCTTCTTCTTCTTCTTTCTTTTCAATCACATACCCATACTTTACTTCCTCTTTCCCCTCCTTGTTCATGACATCAGAGATACGGTTGTCAGGGGTCTCGTCCTTCTCTCGATTCTTCTCTTCCCCTTTTCTGATGATCTCGTTCCTCTCACGGGACGACTCTCCCTCCCTCTCCGTGCTCTTCTCCACCTCTCCTTCACCCTCTCCTTCTCTCTCTCCTCCTGTCCCCCTCTTCTGGGACAGGATAGACCTCTCGCCGGGTCCCCCCAGAGCGGCCAACATGGATCCATCTACGAGGGAGAGGAAACATAGACAGATACTATTTACCATCAATGGGGGGGGGGTAAATTATTTTGTCAAGGCAGCCAAAAGACATTCAATAAAGTTGTAAATCAAATCAACGTTTATTGGTTGAAAACTCAGTTTAGCAGATGTTATAGCGGGTGCAGTGAAATGCTTGAGTTGCCAGCTCCTCAAAATTGCTGTAGAATGTCAAACAAATTGTAAAGAAATAAAATAAAATAAACAAGAAATATCAGAAAGAATCTAAATTACAATCCAAAAAACACTATTACAATAATCCAAATAACAATCTGTGCGTATGTGCACAGGATGAATGTACACAAAGATATACTATGAATGATTTGTACAACAATAGATAAATATTAGAGTGGGTTATGAAAAGTATACAGTATTTAAATACACAGTGTGTCCTGTGTTCAATGTTTCTATATACATGGGACAGCAGTGTACACTGTGTATGTGTATGTGTGTGTGTGTGTGAGTGTGAGTGTGAGAGACTGCGTGGTGCAGTGGAGGCTGCTGAGGGGAGGACGGCTCATAATAATAGCTGGAACTGAGTGAATGGAATGGCATCCATGTGATGTATACTGAACAAAAATATAAACGCAACATGTAAAGTGTTAGTCCCATGTTTCATGAGCTGAAATAAAAATCCCAGAAATATTCCACACAATGCTTATTTCTCTCAAATTTTGTGCACACATTTGTTTACATCCCTGTTAGTGAGCATTTCTCCTTTGCCAATATAATCCATCCACCTGACAGGTGTGGCATATCAAGAAGCTGATTAAACAGCATGATCATTACACAGGTGCACCTTGTGCTGGGGACAATAAAAGGCCACTCTAAAATGTGCAGTTTTGTCACAACACAATGCCACAGACGTCTCAAGTTCTGTGGTCCTCTGTAGCTCAGCTGGTAGAGCACAGCGCTTGTAACGCCAAGGTAGTGGGTTTGATCCCCGGGACCACCCATACACAAAAAAAATTATGCATGCATGACTGTAAGTCGCTTTGGATAAAAGCGTCTGCTAAATGGCATATTATTATTATTCTGAGGGAGTGTGCAATTGGCATGCTGACTGCAGGAATGTCCACCAGAGCTGTTGCCAAATAATTGTATGTTAATTTCTCTACCAAAAGTCACCTCCAACGTCGTTTTAGAGAATTTGGCAGTATGTCCAACCGGCCTCACAACCGCACTCAATATTAGGAAGGTGTTCTTAATGTTTTGTACACCTAGTGTACATGTGCAAAAATGTCTCTAAGGGGTTTGTATAATGGCCCCTGACCTCCTTCCTTTGTAGTCTTATACCGTTCCATCAAATCCACCTTAAAGCACTATTTCATATGCTCTTCGACTCATCTTTGAAATGCAGACAGGGTCATTCTTTCAGGAGAAATGTTATTTATTTCCCTTTGTTAAATCCATCAAAAATGTTCTTATAAAATCTCTCTCTCTCTCTCTCTCTCTCTCTCTCTCTCTCTCTACGATCAAGACTATCCTACCAACGGGACATTAGAAACTGCAATATCTTATGTTTCACCAAGTCGTGGCTGAACGACGACACAGATAATATAGAGCTGCCTGGGTTTTCCGTGCATCAGCAGGACAGAGCAGCTACGTCTGGTAAGACGAGGGGTGGGGGGTGTGTCTATTTGTCAATAAAAGCTGGTGCGCGATGTCTAATATTAAAGAAGTCTTGAGGTATTGCTTGCCTGAGGTAGAGTAGCTCATGATAGGCTGTAGACCACACCATCTACCAAGAGAGTTCTCATCTATATTATTCGTAGCTGTCTATTTACCACCACAAACCGATGCTGGCACTAAGACCGCACTCAACGAGCTGTATAAGGTCATAAGCAAACAAGAAAATGGTCATCCAGAAGCGGCGCTCCTAGTGGCCGGGGACTTTAATGCAGGCAAACTTAAATCCTGTTTTACCTCATTTCTACCAGCATGCCACGTGCAACCAGAGGAAAAAAACCTCTAGACCACCTTTACTCCACACACAGAGATGCATAAAAAGCTCTCACTCGCCCTCCATTTGGCAAATCTGAGCATAATTCTATCCTCCTGATTCCGGCTTACAAGCAAAAACTAAAGCAGGAAGTACCAGTGACTTGCTCAATATGGAAGTGGTCAGATGACGCGGATGCTACGCTACAGGACTGTTTTGCTAGCACAGACTGGAATATGTTCCGGGATTCATCCAATGGCATTGAGGAGTATACCACCTCAGTCACCGGCTTCATCAATAAGTGCATCGACGACGTTGTCCCCACAGTGACCGTACGTACATATCCCAACCAGAAGCCATGGATTACAGGCAACATAAGCACCGAGCTAAAGGCTAGAGCTGCCGTCAATACAGGACTAAGATTGAATCGTACTACACCAGCTCTGACGCTCGTCGGATGTGGCAGGGCTTGCAAACTATTACGGACTACAAAGGGAAACCCAGCAGCGAGCTGCCCAGTGACGCGAGCCTACCAGATGAGCTAAATGCATTTTATGCTCGCTTCAAGGCAAGCGACACTGAAGTATGCATGAGAGCACCAGCTGTTCCGGACGACTGTGTGATCACGCTCTCCATAGCCGATGTGAGCAAGACCTTTAAAAAGGTACCGGTACCCCCTGTATATAGCCTCGTTATTTTCTTCTTCTTTAAAAAAAAAAAGTTTTTATTTATTTATTTACTTTTTTAAATTTAGTAAACATTTTCTTAACTCTATTTCTTGAACTGCATTGTTGGTTAAGGGATTGTAAGTAAGCATTTCACTGTAAGGTCTACACCTGTTGTATTCGGCGCATGTGACAAATAACATTTGATTTGCTTTGAAATGGCACCCTATTTCATATGTAGTACAAAATAGGATGCTTTTCATATCTAGTACGAAATATGTATTTTTGACTATGGGATAGGGTGCCATTTGGGACTCACATTTGCCTTTACATCCCCTGATGTACGATCAGACAGCATGCACAAGTGGCTGGCTTTAAAGCAGCAGCCAATCAAAATGTAAATGTGATCTTTGACTGATGGCCAAGAGGCGAATCCCCTGTGTACTTACTTAGCCTGACAACAGCAGAACTAAAACTGACAGTGAATATACTATGGAAGCTGCCGAAATTAAATTGGAAATGCAAATTGAATAATGAGTAAACATTGTCACTTACCTTAATTGAAAATGCAATCCATGGCAACGAGCCATAAATAAGTCCTAGTGCTGTCATGACATGGTGCATCAAGGCCCGTATTCATAAAGTGTCTCAGAGTTGAAGTGCTGATCTAGGATCAGTTTTCCCTTTTAGATCATAATGAATAAGATTGTATGGACATGGGGGACCTGATCCTAGTTCAGAGCTTTGTAAATACGGGTACAGATCATTTCACGTCACATGAGCTTACTTACTTACCATGTGGCGCATAAGGCCCAGAAAATTCAACACAACACAGTATGACAGTATAGGTAAGGTTGTGCTATCATACCAAATTAGGCAGAATCTTCAAAGAACAAACACCATTGTAAATAGAACCCATATTTATGTTTATTTATTTTCCCATTTGTACTTTAACTATTTGCACATTGTTACAACACTGTATATATGTCTTTATTCTTTTGGAACTTCTGAGTGTAATGTTTACTGTTAATATTTATTGTTTATTTCACTTTTGTTTACTATCTACTTCACTTGCTTTGGCAATGTTAGCATACGTTTCCCATGCCAATAAAGCCCTTAAATTAAATTGAATTGAATTGAGAGAGAGAGAGAGAGAGAGAGATGCTCCCTGTCTCATGCTCCCTGTCCCAATTCTGTCTATCAGAACCTTTGGAGCCAGTGTCCCAGCAGCTTCCTTCTCCCAGATGCCATCCACTCCACTATGGTCAGATCTGCTTAGCTGACACAATGTCCCAGAACATCGCACAGCAAAAAATAAGGGACGTATCGATTTCACATGGTGTCCAGAATTGAACTGCATCTTTCTCTATGAACATGTTCGTTCTCTCTCTCTCTCTCTCTCTCTCTCTCTCTCTCTCTCTCTCTCTCTCTCTCTCTCTTCTCTCTCTCTCTCTCTCTCTCTCTCTCTCTCTCTCTCTCTCTCTTGGTAGAACATTTCGAGATTATGTTTGAATACTGTTTATGCATCGATTAAGGTTTCTCAGTACTCCCTCATCTGTGTTTGTGTGAACTGAGTTGGCCTCCGGGGTTTGGGCTAGTTACTGATTTATGATGGTCTTGTCCTCTCCCGGAGCCTGCATTCCATAGATTGAATTGGTGTTTGTAAACCCTACTTTGCTCGTTGGGCTCTCAACGATCACCTACGGGTGGTCATTGACCAGCTCCATTATTGCAATAATTAATAGATATTAAAGTATGATTGTTTGAAGAATCTGCAGTCTCTCTTCCTTTTAATTATTATTTCCATGACACTCTCTCTCACACACACACACACACACACACACACACACACACACACAGACACACACACACAAAGACACACACACAGACAGGGCTGACCCTAGGCATAAGTCACATGAGCGACTGCTTAGGGCCCCATGGCCGCCAGGGTCACCCGATCCCCAATTTTTGTTTTAGGAACTCAGTCGGGGTCTCAACGTACTGTTGAGAGTTAGAATAATAGAATACACAAGGTGCAATTTGTGCATCAGCAGTTTTTCTCTTATGTCAGTCACTGACAGTCACTCAATTATCCCTTGTCAGCAAAAAAATGTTGATTGGTAAATTATCTATCTAAACTTATATTAATCATGGTCAAATTACCGACCGGGCATGCAGGGCACGTGCCCAGGGGACCTGACATCCAGGGGGTCCCCATTGATTTTGTTAGTCACTCACACTCAGATATCATATTAAGTCAGGAAATTAGCTTCAAAACTGAAAAGAAATCTCTCCACCCTATTGCAGGAAATTAGCTGTAAAACTGCAGATTCTTCTCTCCGCCCCATGGCAAAATGTGTAGAATTGCAGGAAATAAACCCTAAACCTTACATTTTTTCTCTCCTCAGTCAAGAGGGGGGCCACTATTGTCTGCGAGGTGGGGGGGGGGGGGGGGGGGGGGCGGCAACTTGACCTTAAAATGCTAAACTTGACAGGGATTTGGATTTTCAGTCATCATGAGGCAATGCTGTCATATGGCAATTTTACTGAGAATGTGGGCTAGTGGGACTCACCTGCAGCCTCATCTATGCCCTGTGGACCCTGTGGCTTCTTAGTCACATGATCTGCCGTGACGTCACCATGCTGCTGATCTCTCTCATTGGCTCCTGTAATTTGGAGGGGAGATGTGACCACAAATATTTAGACTGATTTATTTTGACATATACTTAAAATACATGTTCTAAAAAACAGTTATGATTGATTATTGTAAAGTGTCTGGGTTTTAGAAAATAGCTATATTATTATTATTATTATTTTATTTTTTGTGGCAGTTTACATGATTGACAAACTAAATTGAAAACAATCAAGAGAATAATATTTAAAACACTAAAAACGATTTACTTCATGCTGAAAACCATTTATGTGAAAGGGACCAAGAAATGCAATCAAATCTAAGATGAACACAACAAAGTGAAATTCTGATTACATCACAACATCACAACAGTTAAGATAATGTCACTTCCTGATAGGGTCGCCTTGTATCACCGCCACAGTGAAAAGTCTTAGGTCAATACCTCACCTTGAACGGCAATGTCCTGCAGCTCCTTGAGGAAGTTGCTGTGGCGGAGAATTGACACAAGCCTTTCATCTGCAAAGCAAACCATTTATTTTTAACCTTTATTTATATAAGAAATCCCATTGAGGTCAGAAAACCTATTTTACTAGGGAGACCTGGCCATTCAGCAATGCATTCATACTTTAATTGTCCAAGTAATCCAGCAATGTCCCTGGGCAAATGTACAGGTATATTTCTCCCCTTTGGTTGTTCGCGACGACTCAGCACATTTGCTCCCGTCTCTAAGAGTTAATTGCCCTGAAATATACTGCCTCCAAAGCAGAAATCCAAATTAATCATTTTGGCCCATAGAGTGGTTTCCAGTGAATTACAGCATCACATAGCTTTTTCCCTTTCTGCTGAACCAGAAACAGTGTACAGAATGAGGCAGGCATTCAAGAGAACTACTGCTTACTCTGTCTTTCTTCAGGGTCACTCTTTCGTTCGTTCTTTCTTTCTCTCCCTGCCTCTCTCTCTTGGTCTTCCCCTTCCTCCCTCTCTAAATTCCCTATCTTTTTGGTAAACATTTATCTTGCTGTTTCTCTTCTCGCTCTGAAGGTAATTCTTTCTCACTTGTATTTCCCTCCCTGCCCCTCTATACTGTCTCCCTCTTTTTTCTGTCTCTTTTTAGTAACCCTTATTTTTATTTTCCCTCTCCTCTGCCTCTAACCAAATCACCTCCAATCTCCCCCTCTCTTTGTCTCCCCCTCTCTCTCTCTCTCTCCCCCCCTCCCTCTATTTTTCCTCTTGAGGGGTTTCATTTCCCAACCGCAGCCCTATCCTGGTAACAATAGCCAGTAATGAGTAATGCCCTGATAGATTTTTCTCAACAAGGACAGCGTCAAGGGAACACAATGGCTGTAATTGAATAGCCCCGGCCTGACTGCTCTGCCGAGTGCTCTTATGGAGAACTCAGAGCTGTGTCCCAAATGGCACTCTATTCCCTATATCGTGCACTACTTTTGTCAAACGTAGTGCACTACATAGTGCAGCTCAGTTGGTAGAGCATCGCGCTTGCAACGCCAGGGTTGTGGGTTGTGGGTTCGTCTCCCACGGGGGGCCAGTATGAAAAAAATTTATGCACTCACTAACTGTAAGTCGCTCTGGATAAGAGCGTCTGCTAAATGACTAAAAATAAAATAATAAATGTAGGGAATAGGGTGACATTTGGGACTTAGCCTGAGTCATGTGCATCCATGGTGAAAATTAAAGCAAATATTAACTTGCATTAGGTCACAATTGGTGACAGTGAGTGACAGTGACTCCTTTGAGGTACCAGAAAAGGTATGCCTCTAGACACCGATCTAAGGTGATTTTTGCATTTTTCTCTGTTAATGGTATGTGGTGATTAAGTTATGGAGTGTGAGCTGATCCTAGATCTGTGCCTATATCCGGAGCGGAGGTCCCTGGGAGGGATTGGGAGGGGTTTACCTGTCTTTAGTATGTTCAGGCACTCCTGACTGACAGGCAAAGGGTGTGGCCTCGACAGCACATCAGCGAGAACCTCCACGATGCATTTCATCACCTGAGGGGGGCAGAGCGGACACACGGTCAACGGACAAACATGGCATCAGTGTTTCCCCTTCCCTGTATAGGCGGGCCGGGACCATCCGCCTACAAAAATGATCTTCTATTTAATGGATTCTATTAACAATGTTGGCTTTCAACCTTGTCGCCCCGCCTGTAAAATAAACTAGGGGAAAGACTGGATGGCACAGCAGCAATGGAGAGACAACCAGACCTCCCGTCATGGTGTTAGCCTCCATAAGTCAGATGTGCTCGTTAAAGTATTGCCAGGGAGAGAAGGCCGCAGTCTGCAGTCTGGCAGACTAAAGACTGTCTCAGTTCTATAGCTGGACTTTGTAGTGTGCTGTAGTTTCAGAGTAGTCCCAAATATTCCAGTGGCAAATTGAACAAAATAAATTGACATGGATATGCATTATTCGGTTTCGATTGCTCACTGTCGTGGCAATAGCAGTGTTGTTGTGTTATCGTACATTTACGATATTTAAATAAGATATATGAGTACAATATGTAAATAAATTATCGTACATGAAGATAGCACCCTGATATTCTTGTGCGTAGAACATTATCATTGTGTTGCATGAGGGACTGTAGCTTCACAGATTTTTGTTTTTGGTGATGCGTGAAAAATTATATTATCTGTACAAATCCCATTCAAGCTATGGAACTGATATTATCATTTTTCGGGCATCATGTTCAAATCATCTATAAGTGGCTTTGTTGAGCTTCACAATTTTTGGGGGATACTTTAGTATTATTTGGACATGATGCACGAAGAATGCTAATATCGGTACCAGGACTTGGATGGGATTTGTGCCACAAATGCTAAAACATTCGCATTTGGAAACAGTGCCAGTGAAACTAAACCAAAACATGGATTGCTGTCAAACCTTGTCCATAGACTACTTACAGGGTAAGGAATCCAATATGTCATTTTGTAATTTAGGTGAACTATCCCTTTAACAGGTAATCTATGGTAACTTTGGTCATTTATACTTGAATAACTTTTAAAAATATATATTCATATATAGTATTTTTTATTTTTTTTATTATATCTGTGACCATATTGCCCATGAGTTTTTTGTGGATAGACCATATGGTTCAAAATAAAATATCCTAATTAATGAAAAAAACATCTAATCAACAGTAACATTATTTTCAATTAACTCTGCAACTCTTCCAACTATAACTCTTCCAACTATTGACTTTTTTCACAACTGCCACCAGTTTGGCACCAAAACATTTACAAGAAATACATACTGACATAGTAAAATAAATTAAAGAGTGTAATTTTTATTTTTATTTTTTACTAATAAAGGATATTTCATGCTGAAACCCCAATGGTATTCGCTAAGTTTATGGTTTATATTTAGGATATCTGTTTTACAGCTTTGTAATTCTATTTTTTATTTTAAAATCATCTTATTTGATTATTGTATATATTTTACATGTGATAAGGCCACTATATCATGTGATAAAGAACAACAACAACAAAAAACATAAAAGTTACCGAAATTCTGATAGTTTACTGGTAAACATAGAAAGTTATGAGAAATATACCCTCCCTTTGCAACCCTAGTCCTGAAACATATCAAACAATGTGTTTTTGATACTGTTGATGAGAAAAAGGGGCGGACTGGGACCAGAAATCAGCTCTGCCATTTCTAACACACCGGACCATTTTTTTCTTCAAGGCCCACACACCGGACCATTTTATCCTTGAGGCCCCATTATTAGCCAGATAATTATCATTTTGAGCATTAAAAAAAACAAGTTAGACAAGCCCACTGGGCAAAAAACTGACCAGCCCATCTGGCATTTGCACAAAAATGCCAGATGACCGCCAGTCCGCCCCTGATTTCAAACCCCTACACAAAATGTAACATAAAGCTGACAGTATCATTAGGCTACTGCATGAAATGGAATTCTTACCTCGACATCCTCTTTCTCAAGGTAAGTTGGAGTCACTGGCAATGAAAGAACTACGTGAGGAAAGAAAGATATGATTAACGAAAACGTCTTGCAGTCACCCATAGTTATTATGTTTAGGTCTACCAATCAATATGTACATTGTCGTCTTTAGTTTAGGATACGTTATTCCAAAAAAAATTAAGCTAAATATATGGTAAATTATATAGCCTACAGTTGGGAGGAGGGCAAACATATTTTCCAGTGGAAATATCGACTTCTTAACTGTGAATGCACTTCTTCTGTCGCCAAGCATATAGGCCTATGTACAGATCGCCGATAGCGCCCATCCGAAAAGGATTCGGGAGCGCTTGCCGCTGTCCTTGGTGCTAGACCAAATTACAACATCAGACATTCCCGCAGCTACACAACCCGCTAACTTTAGTGGAATCCCAGCTATAACTTGAAGAAATATTAGTCAATGTCAACATAATACAATTTCTCTTACCGCGATTAACCAATATTGTCAAAATGAAGTATCCTCTCGCGATCATCGTTGCAATAAGACGGGCAGGAATGGAAAACATAAAAAGCTTATTCAGAATGTTAGTTCCCCTTCGATTGTGTGTGGAAAGAGTCGATAAATTATGGATTAATTCTATGTGCAACTTGACCGCCCTCGTTATTTCTGGCGAGCTGCGTTCTTCAGTATCAGGGGTCGAACACCTCGCTCGAGCCGTAATGTACCAAGAACAATTTGCTGCAACTGCACCTGCGTATTTATGTGGAGCTTGCTGAGGAGGAAATGACATCACCGCTAGGAAAATAACTGTTTAGCCTACACCTTTCAACCAACACACCTTTGTTGATATTTAAGGACCACAGAAGTGGGGAGCAGTTCAAGACTGGGGGCTATAGAGGGGTCCGGGGATTTTTTGTGTGTGAAAGCAGTTGTTAATTGGTCAGTTCTGAGGACTCCTAGGGTTTAGGCATTTGACAAGGGTGGAATTAAAATAAAATAAAATCATAAGTCAGGTGTATTCAGAATGCTTTGAATGTTGAATGTCTTGGTTTGAAGTACTACAAGTACAAAATAATATACTTGAGGCATTCCAATATAGCCTTTTCATATTTTTATGATATAGGCTACAACACTGTCCAGGACATAGCTCAAAACAAGTGATGAGTTTATTTCCAAAACGCTATATAACAGGGTTGACGATTGCCATAAATCCCCTCATGACAGGGGGAATGGAAGCTTGTGTGCAAAAGGGAGTGGCAATGGAATGCAAGCTTCACACCAAAAAATGTAATTGCTAAAAAATGTCTAGCCTGTCTATCTATGGGTAACAGGGTTGACATGTTATCCTCTTAAGGATCAGACCCTTTTTTTCAATTTTCGCCTAAAATGACATACCCAAATCTAACTGCCTGTAGCTCAGGACCTGAAGCAAGGATATGCATATTCTTGATACCATTTGAAAGGAAATACTTTGAAGTTTGTGGAAATGTGAAATGAATGTAGGCGAATATAACACATTAGATCTGGTAAAAGATAATACAAACAAAAAAACATGCGTTTTCTATTTTTGTTTTTGTTCCATCATCTTTGAAATGCAAGAGAAAGGCCACAATATAATATTGCATTTTAGGCGCAATTTAGATTTTGGCAACTAGATGGCAGCAGTGTGTTTGCCAAGTTTCAGATTAATCCAGTGAAGTGTTGTTATACGGGACTATTTTGTATCAAATCTGCCCAAACGTGCCGAATTGGTCAATTGATACATTTTCAAGTACATAACTATAGAGAACATACAAAAATGATATGGTAAAACAAAATGTACGTTTACACACTCCCAGGAATGTCATACATGATGGATCATTAGCTTATACACTAATTTTCACACATCTAGATGGCCAGGCGGGGTGGGTGTGGAGCCAGAGACAGCAGGGGTTCAAACTGTAGAACCCAGTTCCTACATTTGAATATAAAAATGGATTTTATCAAACAAAACTATGCTACATTTTATCTCTGGGACCCTTAGGATGACAAATAAGAGCAAGATCACTGAATGTAAGTACATTATTTACCTTCAGAGGTGAATGTATTAAACCAGTTGCTGTGATAAGTTTTTTTGTTGTTGTGCACTTTCCTCAAACAATAGCATGGTCTTTTTTCACTGTAATAGCTACTGTAAATTGGACAATGCAGTTAGATTAACAAGAATTTAAGCTTTCTGCCCATATAAGACATGTCTATGTCCTGGGAAGTTTGCTGTTACTTTCAACAGTCATGCTAATCACATTAGCGCACCTTAGCTCAACCATCTCGTATACTGGACACCGATGCCGTAGAGGTTATGCTCGACCTGGTCAGTTTTCCACTACAAAACACCAGAAAATGGCCCAAAAGAGTAGAACCAGCTCACCTGCTTTTACACTATGATTTGACTATTAGATGTACAATGTTTCTTTCAAAAAATATATTTGAAAAGGAATAGCTTCACCATATTAAAACAATAGTTCAGTTCAAGTGAAACGGTTGACTTTAAAGGGATAGTTTGGGATTTTGGAAACGAAAGCCCTTTATCTACTTCCCCAGAGTCAGATGAACACATGGATAACATTTGTATGTCTCTGCATCCAGTATGAAGGAAGTTAGAGGTAGTTTCGGGAGCAAATGGTAACTAGCATTAACGCAATCCTGGAAGTCTTTGGTATCTGCTAGCATGCTAGCAGCTACCATAGACTTACAATCATTGCGCTAACGCTAGTTAGCAATTGCGCTACACTCTAAAAAGAAAAGGTTCCTGGAGTATCCTTTAGGGGTTCTTCAAATTGAAATTAAATTAAAAGGGTTTTTCAAAGAACAGCTTTTAATGGATCCTTAAATAACCTTTTGGGGTTAATTTTGGAACTGCCCCCCCTATTATTATTATTATTAATAATAATAATATGCATAACATCAATAACACAATATTTTAGTTCTCTGTGTTTATTATGATTTTAGTGGCAAAGCAGAATAAAAAAAATCAAAATATGAGGTAAACTCCCAGCAGAGCCCCATATCCAATGGGTATATCCTCTGGCATGTTGATGTTATTGTGTTGATGTTCTCCATATCCATAGCCAGAATGATTTTTCAGTACATGTGGATCGAACAGGTTTCCTGTTATATTCATCAGAGGTGTAGGGAGGGTGAAGTCTGTGAATCCAAAAAATAGTAATTATAGAGGTGATTAACAAAACATGCACACAACAGAATTAATACCTTGGTTTTTGTGGTGCATGTGAATGGAAAAAACTGTTTTGATAATGATTTTCATACACAAACCTTGTCCATAATGTAGAGGCCTATGGGATATTCATTGAAGAGTTAAAGGAGTAAAGAAGTTGATTATAATTTTAAAAGTTCATTTTAAAATCCCTATTTATTTAACCTTTATTTTATCAGGGACTCATACTGAGACCAATGTCTCTTTTACAGATGAGCCCTGAATTACATAAATTACACAAAATACCACAAATAAGGTGCAAGAAAACTAAAAGCTGATTTATCTAACTCAGAGACCAAAGCAATTTCCAGAGTTATGCATCCCTGAGACTGGGTGTGGTAACTCGTATGTCTAAAGTTTAGTAATGATGTTAGGTACAGTGTGATTTTTTGTAAAAGGGCTTTATAAATGAAAACACATCAATGTATCAACCTACTTTCTGGTAAAGAATGCAGTGATGAGTACTAAAATTGTCGCCGTAATAAAGCGCAGTGCGCAATGTTCCCTCTAAAGTGCGCGCGTGCACGGCTGCGCACCTCCTCCAGGACTGCTGCGCAGAAGAAATGCCATGCCAGGCAGAGACTCAAGAGATTGAACTTCACTGAGTTCGCCCCATTAGTTTACACTATATAGATCAACGTTTTTCTGTGATCAAATCAACATTATATTACACCTTTTTCAATGCAACAAACCAAAACCAATCTAACTTTGCAAGATTGAGTCTGCGATTTGGTTGTAGGCAGAGCCAGAGTGCAACCGAGTAGAATTATTTTGAGCGGGATGAGTGGACTTTCAATCACTTCAATCACTAGTAGGTAACACACATGATTGAGGAATACTACAGTGTGTAGTATTGTATTCTACAGTATACTGCAAAATTATATTGTAAGTACTACACATGATCGAAGGATTATACATTGTGTAGTATAGTATTCTACAGTATACTACAGTTTACTACAGTATACTGCAAAATTATATAGTAAGTACTACACATGATTGAGGGATACTACAGTGTGTAGTATTGTATTCTACAGTATACTACAGTTTACTAAAGTATTCTAAACTGTCATATTTTTTTATGTGGGGTGGCCTGATAAATATGGGTGGGACCATTTGAAATCGCAAAACATGTGCAGCACACCATACACGATCACCCTCTGGGCCACCATAATCACAATGTTGAACAACTGGTCGTTCAGTACAGTACCTGGGTCCTTTTTCACAAACACAAAATACAATTAATTCACCCAAATTACAGTAAAGGCTTCACATTAACAGAAAGCTGCTTGCACAGTATAAGCTAATAATGCCACAGATGTCTCACGTTTTGAGGTAGTGTGCAATTGGAATGCTGACTGCAGGAATGTCCACCAGAGCTGTTGCCAGATCATTTTATGTTAATTTCTCTACAATAAGCCGCCATTTTAGAGAAATTGGCAGTACGTCCAACTGCCCTCACAACCGCAGACCATGTGTATGGCGTTGTGTGGGCGAGCGGTTTACTGATGTCAACGTTGTGAACAGAGTGCCCGATGGTGGCGGTAGGGTTATGGTATGGGCAATTTGAATGCACAGAGATACCATGACGAGATCCTGAGGCCCATTGTTGTGCCATTCATCCGCCGCCATCACCTCATGTTTCAGCATGATAATGCACGGCCCCATGTCGCAAGGATCTGTACACAATTCCTGGAAGCTGAAAATGTCCCAGTTCCAGTGGCCTGCATACTCACCAGACATGTCGCCCATTGAGCATG